ATGTTGATGGATGTTGATGGATGTTGATGGATGTTGATGGATGTTGATGGATGTTGATGGATGTTGATGGATGTTGATGGATGTTGAAGGAGAAAGCAATATCAGATATGTATATAGTATACTACGTACTACGTAAAAGGATTACTTGTACAAATTCAACCAGCCCCAGCCACGTCCGGTACAGTTGCATCGGTTTCAATTACTTCTGCATGAACGAACATTACATTGTGGCATAAAAAATCAAAACTGAGTGAAATAAAATAGCATTAAAAATGTGCAAAAGTATTAAACCGATCATCAAATTGGTCATTATTTTTTTAAAAAACAGATTCTTATTATTTTTATTACGTAAATATCTTGTAAATCCTTTCGGTTTAAATATATAAAATTATATTAATTAAGTACAAACGAAATTCTTAATATCCTTTTATGACAGAGCTAAAGAAAGTATTCAGACATCGCCCTAAAGATAATTATGAAGTATAAAAAATTTTTATCATTGTATTGCTGTGTTTAAATAAATATATAATATTTATTAATAATTTTATGATTTAGCCGCTTAATTGTCTTGAAAATTCTTATAATCATCCCAAACAAAAAAAATTGGCTTCGAGATATTGAATCGAACTTCAGCTGATATTAAAGATTTCGAACAAGTAAAAAAACATTGAAAACTTGAAATAAACATATCAAAAACACCTCTTACTACTAGTATAGTAGAATTAAATTCAAATTTAAATTTGAATACAATTGCAATTTATACATCCGAATTATCCGAATTGAATGTAAGTTGACTTAGAATTTGTAGCAATAATTATAAATTATAATAAGTTGAATAAATATACGAAAGAAAAAAATAAAAAAAATTCAATTATTTCTTAAAGAAATCTTGCGGTCGGTATTGTAATTCTGTTATTGAAAAAATTTAAAAAGTGATTACGTAACAGATTTTGGTGTCGCGTTATTGCGAAGTGGCACGTGTTCATTTGTATTCGGGAAACCCGGGATGGCTAGGGGTTACTTTTTTGATGTATTTAGGTTAATAGATTGTAAGAATATCAAAAATACGATTTCTGGATTTATGCAATATGTAGATCAAATCGTGATGTATAAATTATTTTTGTTTACATTTTTTTTGTGGTTTACATTCGCTTATGTTTTTTCATTTGTTTTTCGTTTGTTCATTGCTTTATTAACATATCCTTTCTTTTTTGTTTTTTTTTTTATTTGTTCATTGCTTTACTAATCCTCTTGTTTTTTTTTCGGTTATGCTTTTGTTTATATTTTGGTTTCATTTGTTTTTATCATTTATGTTATTTTTCAATTTTTTTTTCGTTTATGTTTTTTTTATTTGTTTTTTTTTCGTTTATGTTTTTTCTTTTATGTTTTTTTCGGTTATGTTTTATTTGTTTTTTCGTTTATGTTTTTTCTCATTTATGTTTTATTTGTTTTTTTTGTTTATATTGTTTTCATTTATCTTTTTTTCGTTTTTGTTTTTTTTCGTAATATATTTTTTAACTGTTATTTTTTATTTAGATCGTTGTTGAATATTGTTGGTGGGTTTAGATTGTCTAGATCGTTGTTGGTGGTTTAGGTCGATTATTGGCGGTAGAACCGTTAACTAGGCATGAGTTTTTGCATTTCCTACTTTTAAGGATTGCCTACTGGTTTCGCAGAAGGAACTGGTTACGTTCTTTCTTTAAAAGTCAAGAACTTATGGGTTACGGCTTCGGTGGATGGAAGGAGAGGGTGGAAAAGTAGTATAGTAGTATAGTATAGAATAGTATCTGAACTCTAGAGGTTATGAGTTAAAGCTTATTGAATTAATACTTCGGTATTAATTCAAGTGGAACAACCCACTTTCGATGTGGAAATTCGAAAGAAACGGGTTGGGGGAAACCTTCCCAACCGACGAGATACACCTCTACGCGGTGGTTGGGACAAGTAAGAGAGAAATCTCTGAAACTAAGTATCTCGATTTTCTTGATTTTTAATTTTTTTTTTTGTAATTAAATTTATATATGTAAAACGAATAAAAATAAATAAAGAAAATAAAAATTTATTTTTTAAATAAAAAGTTTATTAATATAAATTAATAAAATATTATAAATTATGATTATGACTTTTTAATATTGCATAAAAAAAACTTAAGTAAATTGAGTTCGTTATAAATTTCAAATGTTAGACTTCGGCTAAAAATTGGATCTGTTTAACCGCATAAAAATTATTTCATAGTACTAAGTGAAATTATGTTTATCGTGCACTAGAATTACAGTATTTTAATGCCGGCTGAATTAAGTGATTAATACAAAATAACAGTATTAATGTGTAGCTAGATAAAAAAAATATATATTAACTTAAATGCGAATCTAATATACCGTACTTACTGTATCCCATCAAAAAGTACCCCATAGAATAGTAAACATAGCTAGAAGTCTTATCATATACCATTACTGTATTAAAATAATATTTCTTTAAAATAATATTTCTTGTGAAACATGTTCGGGACTTATTAGAACGACCAACACTGACAGTAAATGAGAAAGCTACTCTAAAATCTGAAAAGTTTGAAAATATATTTATCAGGAATTTATAAATATCGAATGTAACTGGTACTCCGAATAGGTCGACCGAAAGTGATTTATTATATTGGTTATGACCTATATAATAAAAATATATTATAACATACCAGTTTCGGGTAATCCAGGTCGACCAGTTCGGTGCATTAAATGCAACGGTAGACAATGTCAATAGACTTACGTGTAGGTACTTGATCTTGTTAAAAGCCTACAATATTCTTGCAACAAAATAAGTGGCTTAAAAACTATTGAATTATAGTCCGAAAATCGGATAACAATATAAAAAGTGAACCATCTTCCAAGAACGGATGAGTGAAATAAAAAACTTTCTACTAGCGATAAATTAAAATAGATTTGATTAGTAAAATTTATGTTACAATTTTTGTGAAATTTAAGACTACCTAAAACGTATTCAATTAAATAAATATTACCAAAACTGGCTGAAAAAAACTTATCGTTATTAGTTGCACTTTCCGAAGACAAATTAATTTAAAAATTTTTATAATAAATCTCATTACGAAACTACTTCTGGATATCATCAAAAAAATTTTGAGTGACTTGTGCATCACAAGATTACCCGAAAATATTAAAGTTAACTAATAAAACCACTATATTTATGGATAAGTTCGAAATCATATTAATACATTTTTCTACTACAAAGGCTCCATATTATAGTCGTTTTTTAATTGTATCTTTTTATTAGTTAATAATTATAATGATCGGATTTTAGTTGATATTTCATTGATGATTTTAATGGTCATGCTAGGAGGGGTAACGATTATATAAATGGGCTTCTTTTCTGAAGTAAAATCAAGTGTAGTCTAGTTCGAATTTGCTTAAGTTAAATAATTTTATTTATTGGGTCGAGTTCAATTGCGCATTATACAGTATGTTGCTGATTAGCATTTAGGTGGTATTCATATTAACAATATATCAATACAAAAAAAAAGATTAAAGTGAAATTAGAAACTGTCAGTTTTGCAAGAACTCATTTTACGATTCAATTTGGTTTTGTTCAAACGTGTGTGGAGGACTTCTATTGGTTGATACGTATTATATTAAAAAATATAAATTTTGGACTTTTTACTCTGCTAACCCGACCGGATATGAAAACTAATTATATAAGTTTGTGTGTGGCCTAATAATAAATATGCCTTGGTTTGCTAACGATTATGGATATAAAAAAATTTTTTTATAAAAAATATATAAATAATATTTGTGGGATTGGACTTAGTTTTGGGATTTTGTTGTCCCAAAATTTAGTTTGACCAGTTTGACAATATCGATATGGGATTTTTAAGCACAACCAGACAATCCTATTTGTCCTGGTATGTCCAAGCCCAAAGCCCAAATCCCAAACGTTTGGATAGTCGTTACATATCGACATCAAAAGGATAAAAGGATATTAGTCAATCACGTGTAATTAAGATTATCTGACATGATAGCCAATAAAAATGAATTTCAGCCAATAAAAACGAATTTCCGATACTTTTTCAAAAAAATTTAAAAATGGAAATCGTCGAGGAAAATAATTTTCAAAATATATCTAATGAAATTCCCGATTTTTTAAAGCTTATAAATGAATTGAAAATTAAGGCTAAAGAAATAAAAGAACAAATTCTCAGTACAACAGACAGGTGAGAAAAATCAATCGTATACATTAAATGCATTATATTCAGTGTAAAGTTTTTTTTTATTCCTTAATGTTCTCGAAAAATTTTCTCTATATAGAAAATTGATTAGTGTTCACTGAGAAAATGAGAACATTGAATTTTGCACTGATATTTTAGTTATACAAAAATAATTAACAATTTTATTCAAAATAGAGTTAATAATCAGTCACTGAAGACTAATTGCGGTGTATCTCTTCTTGATCTTAAATATCATATACTCCTCCAATACATTACAAACCTAGCTTTCTTAATTCACCTGAGGTTGGATGGAAAATCAATATCCGATCATCCCGTAATTTCAAATCTGGTGGAGTTAAGAGTAGTTTTGGAAAAGATTAAACCTGTTGAACAAAAATTAAAGTATCAGATTGATAAATTAATAAGAGCTACAATAATTGAAAATATTACGGAGAAAAATGTTAATTTAATTACTCATAATAGTATGATGAAAAGAATTTTCTTTTATATTACACGTCTTTTATGTGTCGAACACGTTTATGAACTTTTTTTTTTTATATCTTACAAAATATTACAGTAGCTGATCCACTATCATTTAAGCCAAATCCGCAAGACTTTGTATCAAAAGTTGATGATGATAAGAACGAAAAAGGTAAACAAAAAAATCTTACCAAGTATAGCATATTTATTAATATATAATAATCTTATTTTTTATTTTCAATATATGAAAGTTGATAAGGTTGAGGTATATAAGGCGCCAAAATTAGCGCCCATGCATTTCGATGAAGGTAAAAATCCATAACTATGCAAATTATATCAATATATTTTTTTTATGATTTTTTTTTTCTCACACTAATCTGTTAATTTAGGGAGTCGTTCTGCACGCGAAAAAGAACAATCACGCCTTATTGCTAGAGCATCAAAATCACGTATAATGAAGGATCTCATCGAAGAATATGATGATAAACCGGAAGAGTTTGATGCAAGCGGTGGTGTACGCGCTGAAATGATGCATGATAAACGAATAGAAGAAAAGCTCGCTGAACGTAATCGATATGAAGAGGAAAATTTTGTCAGGTTGCCGATTCCAAAGAACGAGCTTAAGAAATTGAAAAATAGTTCAAAGAAACTTGAAAATGATTTTGAGGTAATTTTTTTTTTCAATTTATTGCCCTGCCCGAATTTAACTAATTAATATTTTTTTGCATATATTTCAATAGAATTTGAATGATTTTAACAGTTTAGCAACCATCCAAGAAGATATCGATTCTTTTGAGAAACAGAGAACAAATGTTTTAGTCAGGCGTAATGTTCGTAATGAAATGTACGAAGGATCTGATAATGAGGTACGAACATTGGTTTTAGCTTTGATGCTTTCGAAGGCTGCAGGGTTCACATTACTAACATTTTTTACTTGTCTAATTGCACATGATTGAATAATTACTAAAGGAATTTTCATCTAAATCTCAATCTAATGAAAAACACGTGAGACGTAATAAACCAGGAACATTTAATGGTTTATTGGATGGTTTTCCACAAAATAAAAAAAGAATTAATAAATTTCAGAAAGCCAAAAAAAATATGAAGTCGCAAAAACGCAGGCGTGTTTAATAATTTATATCGAACTAACGAAATAACTTAATAAACTGAAAAAAAATGTCGATTCATATCATTTCCTGGAAGTTTGAATCACGTACAGACTTGCACTCGTCTCAAACATTTGAATTTGAATTTGTTTATTGTTAGTAAAAATAAAATAAAATAAAAAAAACCAAAATTTTATCGAATTTTATATTATATACTGTAGTAATTCAAAAATTAATATGATAAGTTATTTTTTCACGGAAGAATTTTTCTGGTAACTCGGTGTATTAAACTATTGATAAATTTGTTGTTGAAATACACTAATTTATTGGTCGAGAAAATTTAGGGATGGATCAGTCCGGTCCAGTCCGTCCGGTCTTAATAAGATCCCAAAAGCGGTCCCGACCTCTAACAGTCTTATTGGCTAGTGGTCATTTAACATTGGAAATTGAAATAAGTGTTGTCTAAAATAATTTTTTAGTATCTAGTATTTTTAATTAACTATTTATGAAGACCGGTCTCAGGACCGGGGACCGGTTAATCATGAGACCGGTTGGACTGATCTATGATCGGCACATCTAGACGGCCAATCAAAACAAATAACTGTTGCTCTGACGTGAGACGCGTCGGTAACCCCGTCAAATTTTTAAGTTGTTTACTGCCTCCTCCTCAATGCTCTACATTTGACATGGAATCAGAAACCTTTTTAGATGAATGCATTTTATCGACTGCTCTTAAATTAAAAAACTTCTACATCGATGACGATGCGGAAGAAGAATTGGAGAACGAAATCTTTGAAACGGAGCCTCAAAAGCGATCAAAAGCTCAGACAAAGGCTTTACGTAAAAGGAGAGAAAGTGCAGCAATATTCAACCGACTCAGCGAAGGTTTGATAGTGTCTTTATTGTTTAATACTGTCTTTTATTTGTAGTCTGCAAATTAAATTAATTATGATTATCGCATTTAGATACCTCGGCCAATTTTTTGAATGATAATATTGATTTTGCGCGAACATTTTTTTTTGACGATGGCATCGATTATGATCTAACAAATGCTTCAACGGAAACTGCGAAGAATAATACAGACATCGATAAAACGTATGATCTCTGCTCTAATTTACAATTTATTTTATATTTAACTGAAATTTATTAACTGAACATTCAGTCCCAACCTAAGGAAAAATGAATCAACAGCGAACGTTCAAAAATTGTATGAAGCTCTTCGATTGCCTCGAAATGCTGCCGATGAAACCATATTGTCGGAAAATAAAACAAACTCACATGAAGCTTGTAACAATAATAAGTCAGTGAACACTTCCAATTCCAATGAACATCGACCATTATATGAAGTCACAAACAAAGGTAAAATAATTAATTTTATAGTAAATCTTGTTTTTTTTTTTTTAATCAATTTTAATATATGATTTTGATGTTGCTTCTTGAAAAAAGTCAATTATGATAAAAGTAACACGTTAAGTAACAGATCAATTCAAGATGAAACATCATATGTAAACACGGCAACAGAACAATTACAGAACGCGATGAATTCTCTTGCTCATTTCAAGGAAATTGTTTCGAAATTTAACGTGCCTTCACAATTGCAAATGAATGCGTCGTGCTCTACCCCAACCCCGAAGATGGAACATAAGAAAGCGCGCACATCAAATTTAAGACAACCAACTTTCTCTTCGCGCTTGAAACCACCCGTTCAAAGACGCTTAACTTCTACGGAAACGGTTCGCCACACGACGAATAATTACTCGGAGGATAATAAATATGCATCCAACCTATCTAATTCGAAACTTTTACGCACACCTTCTGCTAGACCAAAAAAATGACTAATTGATACACATGAGATAAACCCATTTTTTATTTCCACTTTTCAATTCATGATGACAATTAAATTGTCTTTAGCTTTCTAAGAATTTGATAGGGCTAGTTTAAGCAATATTATAGTAGCACATGTTATGTAACTCATGTTCACAATACAATGCAAATCAATGTTGTAAAAATGATAGTTTTGCAGAAAAGGTCACTCAGTATACTTGAGATGGTATCAGAATGTCGGATTCCAATTTCTAGATGAACTACTTACTCATTACATTAGGAACATAAAAAGATATTCGAAATGCAGTTTTACTAAGGATAAACTTACCCAATACCGTTTTCAATATAAGTTGTGCTTGCAATATTTGGTGTGTAAGTAGAACAATTAAAATAAAAATAAGAATGAACCGAGCCATGGGTGAAGTTCTTCGAACACGTGGTGCCATGTAAAAAATCCTATTCTGTTTTATTGGGACTAAAAAATTGTTCGTCACAACAAAAAAGAGTTATAGTTTTATGATTTTTCAAGACGCATTTATTGATTTTTCAAAATGCTGTGTTGCACGTGATCGGATACAGATGAGGCGAAGATTGCAAAAATTATGCGTTTTTTTACCTGAATTATGCCCTATATTATGGTAAAATATCTTTTATCAGAAATTGAAAGTTAAAAAAAAAAAAAGATTTATCGTTTTTAATTTTAATACAGTCAACCTCGTTAATATCAACCTCATTAATATCAACTTCCCGTTAATATCAACCTCTAACTAAGAAAAAAAATAGCTCAAGCTATATAAAAAACTATCCCATTGTTATCAACTCTCGTACATATCTAAATGGCTGTATTTTAGATTATACTCGTGAAAAATTATCAATTACTTGATTTATATTGAAAACATGTAAAATACGTAGTTCTAATTTTTAAATATATATATTATAATCTAAAATTAAACTGATTTTTTTATACTATTTAAATAAGAAAAGTCATGTTTATAACACCCTGTTATATAACATCTTATGCAAAACAGGATCGGGTACTCTAAATAAAAATATCCAGGACCTCCAAAAATCTCATAAGAGCTGAAATTGGGACTTATCAAGGTCTTATATCTAATATACCGTAAAATGCTGACTCTTGTATCCGGGTATATACATTGCTAGTATTGTACCCGGGGTACCGAAGCAGGGGGGATACATTGTATTGGTGGGGGGTATAAAATTCGGAATATGTATTTTGTAAATGATTAACGTCATGCTGTAAAGTCAAATAAATTAATTAAAATTTTCTTATGAATAACGTCATAATTAGAGTCAAATAAATTTATTAAAAACTTTCTGCCATATTGTAAAGTCAAATAAATTAATTAAAAATCGACAAATAAAAGTTATAAAATTTTTCTAATTTATAATGGCGTCATATTGTAAAGCCGAATAAATTTATCAATAATCAGTATATAAGAGCTACAAAATTTTTTGAGTATTTACTAATAGTTTTAAAGAAAATAAATATGAAACGGGCTCATATTACTAATAAGATTCGTCGAAGTTGGTGTGTTTGTGAAAAGCTTATGGTTGTTTATTATTTTGAATACATTAAAAATGTGCGAAAAACAGCTAAAGAGTTTGGAATCGAGCCTAAACAAGTTCGTGATTGGCGAAAAAAAAAACAAGAACTTCTAGATGCTTTACCTCATGCTTTATCACTTCATCCTGGTCGTTCTGCACAATATCCAATTCTTGAAGAAAAGCTTTTTAACTGGGTTAAAGAATTACGTGATAGACAAAATGCAGTAACATGAATTATGACAATCCGTAAAGCGAAGTTGTTATCACAAGAGGAAGAAATCAAAAATGCTTACCCTAATATTATTGAATTCAAATTTTCTGATC